CATTGCCACTCAAACACCACAATATTTTATTTATTCAACTTGTGACATATTTTTACTTTATTATTAAATCTGGGCAAGAGATTGATCTTCTGTTTTTCACAGGAGTGAAAAACATGATGTTCCACTAATAAGCTGGCAAGATGTTTCACTGCAGGCACCGCCGTTATTAGACTAACTATATCGGTTAAGGATTGAATTTTCCAGGTATACAGAAGGTTTAGAACCCATAGCCCGTCCCACTTTCGTTGATGGTACGGCGCCACATTCTGAGCCCAGCTTTTCTGTGGTGCCGTGCTGGGGGTGTTTTTTCTGGCCCAGGGCCATTTTTTGTGAACTGGTGCCAGATTGGGAAAAAGTCCGGCACCGGCACTGGTACCGTGTTGGTGGAGACAAGTATATGGTGTAAGTACGAACTGGTGCTGGAAACCTCAGAGCAGGCGTAGAATGTGAGGAATGTATTATGAGGTGAGGTCAGCAGAGCTGAATCTGTTCAGCCTCAAGCAAAGGAGACTGCTGTAACCCCTTTCCCCCCATCCCCCATACACACTCTAATAATATAATAATTTTAATAATACAGTCGCAAAACTGCAATCCAAATATTTACTTTCATAGGCTCCACAAAAAGGAAGAAAAGGACAAAGAAATAAGAGATTGCCTAGCATGTGAAATAGTGGTAGGCAACACCTATGCCTACAGAAATGGTTTAACCCTAATTCTCGGCAGCCAATGACACTCACCCATTCAAAATGGACAAGTGGCCAAATGGCTCAAAAACGTGAATTTTATCACATAAAATACATGTAGAATGCATATTAACATGTATTCTACGTGTATTCTATGTGTTAAAATTCACATGTTTTTGACCTGTTTATATAGCGTGAGCATCACATTGCGTATGCATCGCCTCGCATAAAGGTCCAGGTACAGTATATAAGGTTCTAACAGGTCTGTATGCTGTTCAACCAAATGGAAATTAGTGGGAGAACATTTTAAACTGGATTTGAGAAAGCACTTCTTTGTAGTTAGAGTATAGAATATTCTTCCTGTTAGTGTAGTGCAGGTTAAAACCTTGGGTTAATTTAAATCAGAGCTAGACAAGATTTTAGCAACTTTAAGCTATAAGTTGAATTCTCCCCAAACGAGCTTGATGGGCTAAATGGCCTCCTCTTGTTTGTAATTTTCTTATGTTCTCAAATGTTACTGTTGAATACCTCTATCATTAGAAATTGTGTTTCTGCAACCACCAAAGTCTCTTAGAGTTCAGATATGATAAATCATTTGATGGTTTTTACTTTTATTAAAAATAACTTCCACATACTTGTGATTTAAAAAATGTTTAGATTAGAAGGACATTATTGCCTTCACCTGCACACTGCAGTGGCTCAGTGACTGATGTGGGTGAAATACAAACGACTTGTGATAGCTGTGTGTGGGAGGGGCATTTATGTGCCATTAATCAAAAGGTATGCAATTTACTCCAATGCCCATGTAAAAGCAGCTCCTGCTTTGAAATGTAAAAAACCACCTTCAAATGACAGGAGTCCAGTTGACTGAATTTAGGGGCAGATAGATGCCAGGAATTTCCATATCCACTGTAAAAGTTAAAATCCCATTTTTTAGATCAAAAAAGGACAATGACAATCAAATCAGGGTGCTTTGCTACTCCAATCTGCATTCGATTCACGCTCCAGGCCATATGGAAGACCAGGCTTTTCAAATTCACAGTGGAAGCACACGACCTCCACCTGAAAAAAGCAGGGACCTCATTTCCATGGCCGACAGAGAAGTGAAGCAGAAAGATGGGAGGTTTCGCTCCCTTCCCACCACTGCCCCAGCTCATAGGAACATCTCTGGTAGAGATGTCCACCTCGTAGCCCTGTGACACAGCAACCACAGAATAGTAGCATAGTGAACAAAAACAGCACATGCCTGTGAGCCCCCCACTCAGTGAAGGCATTCCTTTAGCGCTCCAGGTAGCACCATAGATTTAGCTATTGCTATTCTAAACAGGCTATAATTTCCCTGGATTTCTAAAAAAGACAAACATCATCTTTCAGTCTTTGATTTACTCACCTGCATGAACAGAAAACAGCTCAGATAAACATTCCACGATAATGCAAAGGATAAAAATCCAGGGAGCCATAAACCAAGCTTGTGGTCTGGAACCCTTTGAAACCACCTGAAGTTCCTGACAGTGCGGTTGCAAAATTTATATCCATCCATCAACCAACTGCTTATCAGAGGGTTGCCTGGAGCCCATCCCAGACAATACAGGTCGCATCAGCTTGGAAACAGTCCATGCAATGGGAAAGAGACTACCTAAAGGAAACCTGCGCAACACAAAGAGAGCAGACCAACTCCACATATAGTGCAAAGCAGAAGTCAAAGCCCCAGTCCTGGGGTGTGATGCTACCCAACGAGCCTCCCACCAAAATGTGAGCCAGGTTTACCCTAGAAATGCCTCAGATCAGCCCTCTTACTGTAACTTGTACACATCTTGATGTTTGTTACCCTTGAACACATCAAAGGTTTTCATCACCCACCAATCAGTACACTGCCTGAATTCTAACTGCACTATTTCCTTGGCAACCATACAATCAAGCCATTGCCATGTATCAATCAAAGGTATATGTTTACCTTTGGTTTCTGTCACAGTTTATAGATGTATGCAGCTAGATATTCAACATATTTGAGGTTAGCTATCTAGCTCAACACTACAGCAGCATCTACTCTCTTGGACATTAATTAAATCAGAAACCTTCATGCTATGAAGCTTTAATCACTGCTTAATCACCTGCTGACCACAAGGAGGAATTTTCACCACAGACTGAGCTGAACCCATGATTATTAGGAAGCAACTGCTTTAGCCATTAAAACCCATTTAAAATACTTCAATCAGCAGCTGCTTACCTTATTTACAAGGCATAGTTATTTGCAGTACTTTGCATAAGTGATTGTGTCATGGCAAGAACTACAGCAAAGCGTTATGGTAAAATGGTTTAAGACAAGCAGAGGAATAGCAGAGCAGCTCCCATTCCATTTGTGTGTGCATTTAAGTCATGCTTGGTAATGCATTATCTGCCTCACTTTTGCATTATATTGGGCAAAAGCACCTGCCAAATAAATAAATGCAAGTGTAAAAGACATTCATACTAACAGGGCTTAAGGCAAGCAGCCTGCATAGTTTGACCGCAAGATATGATCGCCTCCAACATTTACAGCACTGCTGATCATCCAATCAGTAAGAACCTTCCAGAGTGGCGCTGGGTTAACTGTAGCGTGTAAAGAAAGTAATGAGCTTAGCAGAGACGCTGCTGGAGTTCAGGGTGCTAGCTCTTAGCGGTGTCTGCCGGCTGGGTAGGCGCTGCGATGGGCTGATTGTGATATAGAACGGAGCAGTGCAACTAGGTGACGCAGTGCAACTAGACGAAGATCAGAAAATCAGAAAAGCCTTTCATCCACCTTCTAAATGCTTATATCCAGGTCAGGATTCCAAGGAAGGAAAAATACTTATTTTTATTCAATTAAAACCACAGAAATCCCAACAACAGTATTTGCTTATATTGCCTTGGACCAGAATAAAATCTGCAAACAGCCACTGATGTCCAGACTAACAAAAACACTGAAACAAATAAAGCAGTTAAACATCTTAAACTGATGAAACGCTGCTTTCTATCAACATGAATGTGGGAGAAAAATGTATAGAAAAGCTTTGAAATGAGGCATTCTGTAACACAGTAAGACGCTCTTCTGTCTTCTTTGAGATCAAGACCCAAGTACCCTGCATCACGTACAGAGCGGACTGACAGCTGTGTAACATCTGTGTAGGTGGGCACCTGACGAACTTATTTTACGTTGAACTTGGACTGAATTACATACTGTAATAGATAGGGCTGTTATTAAGATGCTTTTCAGTTACTCATTGTGGTCTCGGAACATTAACGCGCAAGAAATCTTAATGAATACAGATTGATCTTCTTCCCTATGGTCAGATAGGGAAGGACACCCAGGGTTCGAACAAACTAACAAATAAATAAGAGGGAAAATAATTGCATGCACAACTCACCAAAACATCAATATGTTGTTTTCAATTCAATCCAATTTAATTTATATAGGGGTTTTTAACAACAGTCATTGTCACAAAGCACTTTACATTTAACCGGCCAGAACACCACCTCCTTCACATACATTAACTAATAGGAAAACATGACTATAGCAGATGTCAGTTTGATGACCAAATCTGGATTTTTACTAGACTTGTGTCATTTATGAACGACTCCTTTTTTTAGTCAACAAAACGATTGCACTGCATGGTTCGATCAGTTAGAATGACATAGTTACCGTCCAATGAGTGCATCACTGTTCAGTTTGTTCAGGAGTGAACTAGATCATGTCGTTCACGAAGGAATTTGATAGAGTCAGTACAGTTAATATAGTTAAATTAATGTAATGCTATACCCATTCCATTCCATTCCATTCCATTTTCTGCCGCTTATCCAAGGTCGGGTCGCGGGGGTAGTAGTCTAAGCAGGGAATGTTATACCCTATGAAGCATATATTAACGTTATACGTTGATTAAAATGAATAGTATATAGTTTAATTATTAATATATAATCAGTTTAAACAACATAAAATGGAACGCAATATATAAACTTAGTTGAATTGTAACACTGTATGGGAAAAGTATCAAAGGATGACCCCCCAGCTCCGCGAGACACGTGACAGGAGTGAATCAATGAACGATTTTGAACAAATTTGAACGAAGTGAAATAAATCGATTCCCTGGAAAGATTCATGTTTTCCACCTCTACCTAATAGCTTCATATTCACAACAAGACGCAGGTCCAAGCCCACTGGGACTGCGACAATCGCTCACACTTTAAGGTTTCATTACTCCGGGAAACTGCCGTTTAATTATTTAGAAATCTCACTAACTGGACGATAGATAAATGGTTAAATGCGGACCGGAGGCGGGGGGTGGAGTTATTGACTGAACGAGTACAACCTGCCTAAGAGGGACGCGGAGGGAAAGGGAGCAGGACCGGAGCGATGGACGGGAAAGTGAGATGCTGCTTTATGAGCGGCCGGTTACTTCCTAACACTTCTTAACACTGCTGAAACATTGTGTCTTATACGCGCACCAAGTACATAAAAAAGCAGATTGCTTTTGTTATAAAGAGGACAGTTTTACTGTGTGAGAGATTACAGTTGAAGGAGGGGGAATTGCGCTTTCACTTATCCACATTTGCTGGGCAGCATTTATTTCATTCATCGCCGTGCTGATGCGGCTCGCCAGCTCGTCGCATCTACAAACGGACACACTCTGTCATCACGCTTGCAGTGCATTTCCAGCATTAATGGTTCGGCCTCATTTCCCCGACTTATACCATTAATGCTGTCAAAAAAAGAACCCATGTTTCTGTAAGCTATTTAGATTAGGAAACCGGGCGTCTGATGAGCAACTTGGCAGGAGGGGGGTCGCCTTGATGGGTGTTGAATTTAACAACGAGCCGCTGAGCACATCGCACAGATTTGCCAGAAGCAAAGAGGCACCAGACTGCCTAAATTTCGCCTTTTCCTCGGAGGGATCGGACGGACTACAGCGTGGGATCGGGTGACTGCCTGTCAGATTAAGGAGAGCGGAGGGGAGAGAGAAAGGATTATGGCTCTCGTTTCGGTCTCTCTCTTTCTCTTAACGCTCACCTGTACAAACTTCTACCTGGTGCAAGCGAATAGCCGACATGCCGTACACTGGAACAGCTCCAACATACAGTAAGTTGTAGCAGATAATGTACTGTAATATATTACCTGTTTCTAAATGCAAAGTGCGCTGCGTCTGATGACAAGGGTTTTTATAGTTGTAGTCCATGGCTTATCCTCATGTTTACAACAATTCAGTGAATCTTAAATTCTGCACTGCCTGTCATCAGTGAATGCTTTTCAGATGCCTTCGGTATGACTGATCATAGTAAGTTATATTTTAATAATCTACTTCCCGAATTATGTCTCCCTTTTGTTGTATATATTATTTTCCCTCAACGTTGTCCAGCTGCTTTTCCTCCTGTAGCTCTTCATCCTGGTTTCATTATGCTTTAATCTATTCAGTGGGCCATCTCCACCACTACAGCACTGACAACATGACCCCTAGCTTGAGCAGTCCTATTCAACACTGTATGACAGCCTGCCACAGCAGAGACCTGTCCCTCCAGTGTCTCCTCACCTACCCCTGTCATTTTCATTCTCAGCCTCATACTTATCCTACTTGCTGCCATCGGGGCTCCATCAGCCCAGTGTATTGTTATCTAGGCTGAAATCTGCTCACCCATCTGTGTCTACCACACTAACTCCGCTCTGGCTAATATGCACACTAAATCCTCTCCCTCTCTCTTTCGCTCTGCTTTCATTTTAGCCTTTAATCTTCTCATCCTTTTTAATGTTTACTTCAGCTTATTTAAGGATTGTTACCTATACATTTCTCTTAATGCACAAACCCAGCTGGGCATAAACTTACTTACAGTTATCCATCTATCCATGCCTTTGGATATCATTTTATAAACATTCCTGTATGTCTGTCCATGGACCTTATAGATGTATATACTTGTTGGACAGTTTTATTTATGAAATGGTGATATTAGTAAACAATGCAGTCTCAACCATCAATGTGATCTTTTTATTTGACATAGTGTTGTTTTTACAAACAAAGATTGGTTTTTAAACAAACGAATACAAGATGTAGTTTTTCCATAACAGACTTGTGAGTGTGACAGGGCTTATCACTTTCATTGTGCTGACAGTGTCGTGTATAACGCGTAGTAAGTGATGGCTGAGGGTCCTTCTTCAGTTTTACATTTGCTGGGAGGACTGGCGCTCTGCAGATGGCACGTCAAACGTGGAAAGTTTCAGCAGGTGTACTTGTGTGGTGCCTGAGTTTATGTGCAAACCAGCATTGTCTTTATGCTGCCTTTGTTTAACAGCCGCCTTATCGCTCTCTCTCACTGCGATAAAATCTGAAAAATAATGAGAGAATTGGCCTATTTTGCAAGCGGCTCATCAGACTAACCCGCGTGGCTCATCTGAGATATGGCAGGAATACCAAATGAGGGTCGAGTGTAAATACGCGTGAGGGTTTCTGCAGTACACCAATCAGCTGAATGCTGTATTAAACAGAGACAACGTCAAACAGGCACATTACAGATGCCTACAGCAGAATCCCTGTTCCGGGATGATGCGCGATTACATGCAGGCTGCCATCTAGCATATTTCTGTTTTCCCAATATGCACAGCACAGCACAGCACGCTCTGGGTACATGCTCTGCTTTCCTCCACCGTTGTCTTGTGTGCATTGGAAGATGTTAGCAACTTAAAATGAACTTAAATTGGTTACATCATGCTGTTTGTTATGTGAAAGTACATATGTTAACATAGTAAACCAATGTTTGTAAAGGTAATATGAGGAAAGAGGGACTCATGCTGAATGAATCCCGAGATTCTGTTTAATTAGTGCTGTGGTATTTATTTCAGTATTGTGCTGTTAACATTAAGGTGCAGCTCAGTGCTTCAGGTTAAGGTTGTTAACGTGTGAGCTGCTCTCTCACTACTGAAAATGCCATTTCATTCATTCATGTCACTTCATTTACACCATTTTGTTCTCATTCCTCCTTTTTGGTGTTTTCACTTGAAATCTGAGACCACAATAGCAACAGTATATACAGTATGAAGGTTTACGGCAGAAAGCGATAATAACAGTTCACACCATTGAGTAAATGTCTCCCAGTCGTCGCGGCGTTTCTCTTCCCGCTTCTCAGTGTGTGCTGTCAGGCTCCTTCTTACGCTCTGCCTAATGGGCTCGGAGCTCCTCACATCCTGCTGTTGCCCGTCCCTCAGTGTCTGCCACGTTATTAAATGTGAACGAGATTTACTCCATTTTCATGGGGGGTGGGGAATATGGAACTTGTGTGTTTGTCACTGTGGTCGGGAATTATGTCTATCTCCAAGTTCCTTTTCACACAGCCCTGCACTGATTACATAAATCAGATAAATCAATAATAAATTCTTTGGTTTCAGCCAAAGACTGTTTAAAATATGACCTAAAGTGACTTCAATACTTAAGAGTTTCTGTCAGTTTTAGAATCCATGCCTGCCCAGGGCACTGGGTTTTAACAGTTTTAAGAATATTTACAGTTGGAGAATTGCAGGCTGAGGTTAATGGCTCGGACGCCCTGTTCGCCTGCTCTGCTGTGTATCTGTGTAGTGTTAATAAATTTCCAGGTAGCTCCACTTTGCTCTCAAAGTCCACACACCTGCTGTTAAGGTGAACAGTTGTCTTTAAAATGTTTTTGCTGTGTGACTGTGCATACGTAGCGATTCCTGCGATGGCCTGGTGTCCTGTCCGAGCTGCTTCCTGCTTCATACCTTTGGCTTGTTGGAATTGGGGACAGGGGCAGCAATCTTAGAGGGACACGTGGCTGCCGAAATCCCCTGAGTGCATGTTGCTCTTTCTTTGCCATACACTCTTGTTGTCTTCACCTTCACATCTTGTCCACATCTTGTTTGTATGTGGGGACCGTCCATTCATTTCTTTAGGCAAAACCCTAATCTCAGCAATGACAACCTTAACCCCTACCCAGTCTTAACCTTAACCATAAGTAACCAAACAAAATACAAGACTTTTGGGATTTTTAGTTTTTTGATTAGTCACAGTTTTTTTTTTTCTAAATAAAATTAAATTTCCTTTTTTGGGGACCATAAAGCATTCATAATGTATCAAACACATGGCTACAATGTGTGCTGCCTTTTGATAAATATTTATAGCCATGTTGATAATTGTCTATGAATACATTATTATTATTTGTCATGAATGTGTTTATAAATTATTAAAAACATAAAAGGTAAAGTGTTACCAAATAAAATCCTTTGCTTTATAGCTCATTATAAGGCATGATACAAATTCATCTTTAAATGGTGAATTTGAGTCCACTGTTGGAAACAAAGAGCATGTAAAAAATACATTGGAGTCTTCAAAATTCTTCCTTAAAGGTATTCATAAGTAGATTTAAACAAGTATTTTGAAACATTTTTGTCATTTTGTCTGCTTTTTTTATTCAGTTTCTAAAATGTAAATTAAACAGAAATTTTGGTCTAAAATCCATATATAGATTATGTCTCATTAACAGTTATTCTGTCCATGTGTTTTATCTACAAATGCAAACTTGTAGAATATAACACTGCTTGGCTGCATATAAATATTAACTGTAATTATTGTTCAACTTCATTACGTATTAGCAGTGAAGGAATGCAGAAGCGACTTTCTGTCACTACCAACGAAATACAACCTACTGTACATCTATAGTTTATTTTCCATTTACTGTTTCCCGCTGTTTAACTTTTTGCTTTGTAACTTTCTTGGCCCTTTTCTATTCATTCCTTTAAACAGATACAGGTATAGTACTTACTTATATTAATTTTGTGTTGTTAAATTTCGGCATTTATTTATTTGAAACCTATTCAAAGTCAAGCCTGTTATAGCTGGTCTACCAGGGCAGGGAAAATCCCGTTGTTCTCTTTTATGTTGTTCCACTTGAACAATTATTTTAACAATAGTAAGCTGCTGCCTTATTTGTCATATAATGAAATTGTGTATCTGACCAGCAATAAATTGTTTTCTTGGAGTTGAACATAGTCATAATGTATTTTCAACAACATTATAACATGATTGAATATGTAATTAATTGCAATTAAGAAAATTAATCGGCTGTGAAAATAATTGCCAAATTATGCCTTTATGTGAATTGGTTAATGGTGTGTGTTTGTGTGTGTGTGTGTGGTCCAGGAATACATTACATTGTGGGGACCACTTATTTTGACCTTTGTGGGGAAATTCAATTTTATAAAAATCTGTCACAGCAATCAAAAAACTAAAAATGCCAAAAGACTTGTATTTTGTTTGGTTACTTATGGTTAAGGTTAGGGCTGGGTAGGGGTTAAGGTTGCCATTATTGGGATTAGGGTTCTTCCCCTTGAATTGAATGTACAGTCCCCGCAAAGACACGAGTACAGGTCTGTGTGTATATGTATGTGTGTGTAGTTATGTGTAGGTGTGTGTGTATAAAACACTGGACAAAAGGCAGAGGACACCATTTGCAGTATATAGAGGACACCTTGTGCAGTGTTCTTTGGCATAGGCTGCAGGATTATTGTGACCATGTACTGGATAAACGTCTATGAGAGATTGATGTATGTATGTATGTATGTATGTACCATGCAAGTTAATATGCATGATGGGTATTTGCATTCCTGACATGGATTTATTGGAAAATGCCATAGTCTCCCAATATATAGATCTGCTGTTTCTGACCTGTGGAAAAATAATGGCTTAAAGTCATGAGCGGCTTGTCCTAAATGCATCCGCCACCAATTTTTTAACTTAATAGCAGAAATTGGTTTCCTAATGCCAGGCAGTGTAATTTTTCTAGATTTTTATTCCTATTAAAAATGTGAAATGCTTTAATTTACGAAGGGTACATTCAGTGCATGTGGAAAGTGAGCAGAGAGATTATTTCTGCATTTTTATGCTTTCTCGCGTCACTGGCACTCTGTCGTTGATACTGCAGATGGCGTGTGAAACGCTGAATGTCTCTGCTTCTGTGATACTGCTATCTGCACTTGCTGGAGAATGGTATTGTCTTCTCCCTGCCTCTGTTTAATTCTGCCTGCCTTATCTCTCTCTCTGATAAAGTCTGGGAATAATGGGGAAATAGTGTTACTGAGACACC